CCTGCCATGGGCAGGGACACCTTCCATAGCCCAGGTTGCTCCAAGCCTCATCCAGTCTGGCCTTGAAGACATCCAGGGATGGGGCATCCACAGATTCTCTGGGCAACCTGTCCCAGTGCTCCCAACCTCTCCTGGAAGAATTTTGTCAAATGCCACCAAGAAAGAAGACTCAAGCAAAGGCTGGTGACCCAACGGGCCACCCAACATCTCCCACGGAGCTCAACATCTCTCTCCCCCTGGTTTAATGTCCAACCCCGCACGCGGCAGCTGGGATGCTGTGTACCCAAGATCAGTGCGTTTCCACCACCAAGAGCCGGCACAGACACTGCACCACCGCAACTTGGCCACCCCTGAGCTTGGCGGGTTCCCAAGCTCCTCCAGCATGGGCTGTGGTGTTGTACCCTCATTTTCAAACGCCAACCTGGGCTGAGCTGAAACACAAGGGATGTCCACAAAGTGCTCGGACGACCGACCCGACAGTTCTCTCTGCTACGGAACATTCTTCGACAGCGATGCTGATGTTCCCATGGGGAACATGAAATCTGAGGAGGAATTTCATGCCAAGGGGGAGTAGTTGCTATGAACTATATATGTCCTCCTACAAAGCCGCTGCAACTCTCCCCAGAACAATGAGAAATATCTTTTCTTTCTAGGAATTAAGTTAAGGAAGACGGGAGGGATGCCGACCGCCAGAAATCTGTTTAATTTATGATCCCTCCAAAATTTATGATGCCTCCAGAAGGAACGTGGGAACTCTCAGCTCTAAAAGAGCCCCAAAAAGGGCAAAACAACCTCTTGATGAACACTGTTCCTGCTCCTATCACACTGGCTAGCAGAAAACCACCCTGGGATTTCGAGCAAGGAGCTCTGCTTCCAGCCAGCCCTGCTCCGTGCCCAGCATTAAGCTCCCTGACAATGCATCACGCGCCCGCGGCCTGCTGACCCCTCTGCCTTCGTGCCATCAAGTCTGATTAACTCGCACGCGGGGTGATGCCATTATTTTGCTTCAGAGACCCTATTGACGCACCGGATTTCAAGCGCTGCCCTACAGCCCCGTTTCTTTTCAGGCTCAAATTACCCTGGAGAGGGACGGGCTCTCCTCCCCATTAACGATCTTTGAATTAAGCCGCTTTGTTAGAGTTTAACTTGAGTTGTAACTATACAAATTTCAGGGGAGGGAGACGGGGGGAAGGGGAAACGGGGTAATTGGGCAAGCGGGGAGGCAGCGGGACTGGTGGGATGCCCTTTGCCATGGGCGATGCTCATCGCCTTGCACCGACCCCTTCACAGGTCTTAAACAGCCCTAAAATGCCAGACTGGCCCCTTCCTCCCCCACCATCTGTTTAAATAATTTTTAGGACCCGGCACAGCTGCCAACAGTCCCTTTTTGGTTTGATGCACATTTTATCCGTAACTGGGAAGGAAACCCCATGACCATCAGACACTTCAACCCCGCCTGGGAAAAGAAACACCGTCACTCTCTGGCCAATAACTGTACTTCCTCTGCCGTCTCAAGTGACCCTCCTGCACCCAGATCACCAGGAGTTAAGCAAACAACCCAGCTCGCTCCGAAAGGGTAGTGACTTCATCGGCGAGCGCAGGATGAGCATGTTATAGAATCATAGAATCACAGAATGGTTTGGGTTGGAAGGGACCTTAAAGATCATCTAGTTCCAACCCTCCTGCCATGGGCAGGGACACCTTCCACTAGACCAGGTTGCTCAGAGCCTCATCCAGCCTGGCCTTGAAGACATCCAGGGATGGGGCATCCACAGCTTCTCTGGGCAACCTGTTCCAGTGCCTCACCACCCTCTCTGTGAAGAATTTGTTGTAGCCAAGCACATCATTACATCCTGCCGCCTGGACCTGGCTCTTCCGGAAGAATCTCATGATGCCCTGCAAAGCACCAGCCATGGGAACATGAAGTTTTAGGGATGGAAGAGGAGATTCACATGTAATTCTGGGTAAGAAACATCCCCCCCTCCACCTGCCTAGTACCCATACGATGAACCAAGAGCTCCACCAAGAAGAGAAGCTTGGATGAGATCGGTGATGAAACGTTTCAGAACCTCTTTGCAGGATTTCTGCGGCAGTTGCAAAAATTATGTTAATCAAGTTGATGGCGTTACCACAGATATGACCCAAACAGTCTCACCTAACTGAATGTTACTGAAGCAAGACCATCCTTAGCTACATCTCTACAAACCCCTAAAATCAACACCTTGGCACGGACAAAAATCATTTGACCTCCTCTGATAAGATCCCTTCATCTACCACCATACAGACAGCCAGCACCTTTTGCTCTTTAACAATGGCAAATAGATCCAGATTTTCTTTTAAGAGGGGAAACAAGATGTAGTTCATAAATAACACAAAAGCAGAAAGACATACTGAGCAACCGAGCTTCATCTGCAGGTCTGTCTCCCACAGCATCCAGTTTCCAGAGTCATCTTCCCCCTGGGATATCATGTAGCTGAGATGCCTCCAGTGCCTTTCCAAACCTCTTCTCAAATGCTACATTTTGTTGTTGCCCCACTGCAGTGATGCTGGGGGGAGTGGTACAGACAAGCCAAGAGCTTTTCATCTGCTGGGCCCGGAGGCTGGTAGCAATTACCGAGCTCTGCATCTGCTTAACCTCCCAACCCCCGCCAAGCCCTGCATGCCCATTAGCTGCGTTGGGTTTGTCATTACATTTTTTAGGAACTACCACTCAGCCTCTGAATTTCCCTTACAGACTAAGAACGGCACAACTTCAAAACTCAGGTTTCCCCATCAGTTGAATTAATTAAGGGAATAGTCAGCAATAAACATTTAAATAGATGTTTCCCATGGTTTATGGCAAACTCATGTACCCAGTGGGGGGAAATCAAAGCAGGAGGAAACCAGTGTCTGTTCTACAAGAACATCTCGCTCTAGGTGCCACCATCAGTTGAAGGCTGGGGGGAAGACTTTTTCCAAGGGCAGGGAGTGACAGGACAAGGGGTAACGGGTTTAAACGGAAAGAGGGAGATGGAGATGGGACATCAGGAAGGAATTCTTCCTGCAGAGGGTGGGAGCACTGGGACAGGTTGCCCAGAGAAGCTGTGGATGCCCCATCCCTGGAAGTGTCCAAGGCCAGGCTGGATGAGGCTTGGAGCAACCTGGTCTAGCGGAAGGTGTCCCTGCCCATGGCAGGGGGTGGGGCTGGGGGGGCTTTAAGATCCCTTCCAGCCCAAACCAGTCTGTGATTCTGTGACCTTGCTGTAGGTGTCACCATCCCTGGTGCCATCCCCGCTTTCCAGGAACCAGCACATAGTCCGGTAAGGTCACCAATCTACAGACGTGCTGGAAACAGAGGGAGGTTTTACCACAGCTTGTGCTTTGGTGCCTGTAGAACAGGCTTATTAAACTCACTTCCATGCAATTTATGGCATGAGGTTCAGTCCATCCGTCCACACATCTCAGGGGTGAACCTCCCCCCTTTCCAACGTGCGTCCCACCTCTGTCACCCTGTCACAGCTCCTGCCCAGCAGTAACAGCTCTGCCAGTGCAAAGCACTCCTGGAAACCTCCTGTGCTCCTTCCAACGGGCGAGGGTGTGAGTTTTAGGTAATTGCACATTAAGCAGCTAAAAGTTTCCCTTGCACCCCACTTTTCCTGGCTGGGAGTGAAGAAAAGCTTTAAGAGCCATGTGCCTGCTGCAAAAGCAACCTGCCCGCGGCCCGCAGGCAAATGAAACACCCCAAAAGGAGATGGTTAAAGGGCTCATCCCAAAAGCCGCCAGAAAGCTTTCGGCAGGGTCCCTCTTCTCCCCCAGCCCCATCCATCGCCGCCCATGCCGGCTGCCCCGCTCCCCGTGCGGCGCTGGGTCCCTTCCCTCGCTTTTATCCCCCAGCACACCCACCCAAACCCTGGAAGGCTGACCTCGTCCCGCAGCCCTGACAGCAAGCGAGCACTCCAGCGAGCCCCGAAGACGAGGGGCCTGCGCTCTGTCTTATCCCCTGCCAAGTATTAGTTTCGCCTCCAGCTATTAGGCACCACCACTCAGCAGACAGCAGGGGCGGCCGGCAGAAAAGCATGTCCTCTGCCTTTTAAATAAATACTCCATTTTTTTGCCCCTCCTTTTTCCACGCTGCCCTTTATTGCAGACAAGAAAACCTGCTTTTTTTTTCTCCCTCCCCCTTTCTGCTTGGAACAGAGACAGGCTTGTTGGCTTTCTTTCTCAAGAAAGCAAAATATTTTAGTCCTGCAGTGCCTGCCTGGATGGTACACGCTGCATTTTTAACAACCAGCATTGTAGGCAGCTACGACTTCTCACAGCTACATTTAGGCTGGCGTCAGGGCTATCTCTTCCATCAAAGCCACCTTTATCGATCAGATGGAGGGGCTGAAACTCTGGCTCTTGTTTACTCGTTCCTCCGAGTCACCGTTTCCTCTGCTGCAGCGATGCCTCGCAGCATCCCAAAGAAAATTCAAACAATTTAAGATTAAAAAAACAAGATAGGAAGCGAAACAGAGAATCAAAACCAGAACTTAATGGGAAAAAGAGTCTTGCACGGCTCAGGCTAAAGGAATCCGGGTAGGGGAATAAAATCCTGACGGCATTAGCAGCACTGCTGCTTTCACTCCCCGTGGAGTGTGGAGGTAAAGAAAATAACTTGAGGTTATAGATTATTTGTGACTTGCCGGTGCTGTATGCCAGTAAAGTTCAAAGCAGTGCACTAAACAAGAAAAGACAAGATGCTTTTTTCCAAAACAAAATGCTGCACAGCCCCACTGCTTGATGTTGCACTTAAAAGCAGG